AAAATCATAATATAATCTACAGTAACAAAAAAGATTTCAGTTTTTCGTAGTGATCGCAAACTTTTTTTGATGTGTGTATATATTTTTTGTCGTGCAAAGACTTTTTGTTTCTACTTGGATATATGTAATAGTAATGCCGTTTCTTATACAAACGCACATTCAATCACTCGTGTTAATTTAACACCAGGCAATTGTTTACAAAAATTGGAAAAGACAGTATAATGGGTACTCCACATATACAATAACTATTTCAATTTTGTCAAATTGTCGCTGCCTCTTAATTAACGTTTGATATGACGAACTCCGTGGTCGAGTGGCTTACACACCAGTTTTCATGATGTCGCCTTCTCTGAGGTCGCAGGTTCGATCCCCGGCCAGATCAAAGTAGAAAATTATTTTTTCTAAATTGTCTTGTGTTTGGGTGTTTGTGGTACCACCATTGTTTCCGATTTCCATAACACAAGTGCTTTATTTATTTACTTTGGGATCAGAGCAACGTAAATGATGTTTTCTAGTATTTAATATTTAAATAATTTTATTTAATTAAGTCTGTAAATACTCAGTATAATATTCAAATCCCCTATAACACTAATGATTTTTATTGACTTTAAATAGAGCATTAAACAAATTTTCCTTAATACTTTACATGTGCATATTTATATTGTAGGTTGTGGAAAAAATGAAGTTTTTGACCTGTGTCCACCAACATGTCCACCTCAAGAATGTGGAGTTAATCCAGCTGTCATTCTGTGCGCGCCTAACCCAAAACCGGGCTCTCCCGAATGCAAACCATCTTGTAGATGTAAAGATGGTTACGTAAGAAACGACAAAAGGGAATGTGTACTTCCTGAACAATGCCGTAAGTAGATTTCTATATTATCTTATAGGGGTATTATTTTTTTACATATATTTCGATTGTCCTTTTACACCGTTGGTCATAATGTAACCAATTTCCTTGCATTAAAAAATAATACTCCTTTTTCTTTCTTAGAATAACGTTTGATATTACGAAATCTTGTGATCATTGGGTATTGTGTTAGAAGATGCAAGTAATGTTTGAAACATTTCTTTTCATGATTGTACTCGCCGATTCGGGAAAGGCGTGTAGTGCCACCATTATGCATGGTCCTCTTGATCCCCTGGGCCAGGTCTTCTGGTTTTCATAGGGTATGCCTTATTTCAATGCCTTGCGATAATTAAAAAGTTAAAAATAAACTGATCATTAAACTTGCATTATATAACCTATATAGTTACATAGCTGTAAAACCTTGACTAACATTCAGCAGTATTGATGTTCAAATTACATAGAAATATAGAGATCCTTCGCAGTGGAGTGGGGCCCCATTTGAATCGAAACGGCCTTTACGACTCGATTAGACCAGGACTTACTTTAGGTCTACATGACCATGGGCAAGGCTTACATTTATTTTGGAAATGCTTGTACTTGTTTCGTGCGTTTATCTGCAAGATTCAATGATTTAAATTGAGTGTATGAAAAATAAATGCCAACCTAGAATGTGTTCTAATGAGGATGGTTGAGTAGAATGTGCACCTTAACCATAAGTTAGAGATTTACATAACTCTATCCTCTTGAAACTGTAAAAATAGATTCTAAAGGAATAACACTTTTGGTTCAGTCCATATGAAACATATAATATTCTTTAAAAGAGTAACAATAGAGCACTTTGTGCAAATGTGTGATAAATTCAGAAAAAATTAATCAACAAATGATATAACTTTTTCACGTGTAAATGTTTCTATTTTTCAGCAACGTGTAATGGACGTAATGAACAGTACGAACCTTGCCCAACTACTTGTCCGCCACAAACGTGCGAGAGCCTTAAAAAAGACTCGAGTTATAACTGTCCTCTAAGACCCACTGTTTGTAAAGGCCAATGTGTGTGTAAACCAGGATTTTACAGAAACAAACTCAACGATTGCATTTCTGAAGAAAATTGTAGTAAGAATTTTTTTAAACATAATTCTATTTATTTCATTTCTATTGTCTATTTCTCTTATTTTAATATATTATTCACTAAAATGTTATATTATTTGCAGGAAAATGCTTTGGTCCCAACGAATATTTTTCATGCGGCGGAGCTTGTGACAATGTCTGTGCCACTCTAGACAAACAAAGTCAAGACAATTGCCCCATTATCAACATAACTTGTAATAATATGTGCTACTGTGACAAAGATTATGCTCGTGATAGCAATGGTACTTGCATTCCCATCGCAGATTGTCCACGCCGGGGCAAATATTAATATGACGTTTTGAACACAAAATTGATACAAACTATTCAAACAAAAGATTATTATGTCTGGTTAATCGATGTTTTAATTTCTATAATTGTAAGTTATTTGTATTTTATGTATTTCAAATCATTATATAATATACATAGAAAATTGTAAAACATCCAAACTATTATATAAATAGTAAGATACTTAAAGTTTTTTTTTACATTGTCCTTTAACACTTTATAAATGTTCCTAAACACATTAGACAAATACATATAGTACATAGAGCCTAACAAGGCACTTAAGATTTCAGTAGTAGTAGAGCTCCTTGTCAAAGAATTCGTCCAGGGAAGTACTGCCATCTTACCTATTTCCACCTTTTCATTTTCCTACAAGAGTTATATGAATATTGTGAGGTACTCACAGTACGCAAATTCTTTGTTCTTCAAGCTATACTACGACAACACACTGCCTCTCCCAGTATATACTTTCCTTCATTGCAATACAGTAGACGTGTGAATGTCATTCCCCGAAGAGTTATCTGTGAAACTTCTTTCAGCCAAAAGTTCTTTTACTTTAGGGGACGATTCTTATACAACAAAAGTAATAATATTTTAGCGTTTCGTCTAAAAAATAAATATGAGTGTAAGAATATGATAACTAAATGGCTTCTAAAACCGTCATATGAAGAAACAGAAAATCTTCTTCGTGCTGCCCAATGAAGTGTTTTCATATGAAATATGTACTCTTTTTCGAACACACACGCAAGTCACAAACACACACATACACTTCCAGTGAGAGAATTATTTAGACAGATTTTATAATTTGGATTACTTTAATTTTACCATTTTACTTATTTGCTGTCCCCAACAAATTAGAATAGAATAGAATAGAATAGACATTTATTGCAACGCCACAACACATAGATACAAAAAAAATATTGATACTACTTAGACAAGCAAAACAAAACAAAAAGACGTAATAAACAAAATTAAAATAAAATGAAATAAGACAATAACAAACAAAGAGCAAAACAAAAAATACTAAATATAACAACTACAAATGTTGTACTGTCATGTGTGCGGTTGTGGCGTATGCAAAAGGACTTCATTCAGCTTATGCCACAGCCGCAATTGACTGTGGAGCTGGTTTTCAATGAGCCCTGAGCTGAGATGAGTGACGGACGTGTGTGTCGCAAAATAAAATAAACTACTTAAATAATTGCGTATGTGTTCTTTGTACGTTGTGTTAATGCTGTGTGTTATATTATAGATCGCAAAAGTACTTAAATATAGCAAATATATATATATATATATATAAATATACCTACTGTGTGCGTTTATAGTGTGGTGACGTAATTACATAATAAATAAAATTATACAACTCGTTCGCTCCGAGTTGGGTTAGACAAAAGACGCGCGGACTGACGCACGGGAGGGGTCGGGACGCTATTTGACAACCGGCACATCGCCGATCACACGTTTGTATTGTTTAATGCAACTTTTACAACTAGCGTTGTAAACAAGTTTCGTCCTCCGTCGTCGTAGGTATTTACTACGCATAATAGCATGCAATCTCCTATACCATAACAGGTACGTACCATTTTTATCACAATAATTGCAGAATATCATACACAATTTTATTTTATATTGAATAGAATTTTAATTAAATAGTATGAGAATGAAATAGTATACATACCCATAATTGAGTAATATAATTGCGATAATAAGAAAGTCAATAACTAATTACATTTTTCAGGAACAAACAACCAAATTTATTATCTCCATATAGGCGCATATTGCACGTGTCCCATCCCGCAAATAAAGCAAAGAGAACGATTACTGCCGCGGACCAACACCTTTAGTCGAAAACAGTGCGGTAAGTGCCCAGGTTAACTTAAACTGCATTATTTTGGATATCTAACAGATGTTTTTTATATTTGCTTTTAAACGTATGCACTGATTTCAGACTACGTAATGGCGGCGGCAGCAAAACATTCCATATTTTCGCTGCGGCAAATTTGAAACTACCGCGGAATGCGGTAGTGCGACAGCGCGGCAGAACCAGCGACCAAGCTGATGCTCTGGTGAAGGCAGTTTTTACGTCGCGGGACCACATCAACTTCTCGGCCAGATAAGGCGGAACTTTGTATTTTATGACCCCAAACAGAAGTGTAGCTAGGTGCAGATCTCTTCTCGCCTTCATTTTTAAAATATTTGCATTGTTCATGTAAGGGGTTACGTGCGTGCGTGGTGGTATGTTAAAGATGAACCTCGCGCATGCATTTTGCACTCGTTGTATCATTTGTTGCGTGCGCTGTAATAGTCGTGGCCCATACACAATGTCCATGTAATTAAATTTAGAGAGTACCAGTGATTCACATAATTTGATTCGAACGGCCTCATTAAGGTGATTTCTTATATTATATAACACTTTTAATCTATAGAAACAATTTCTAATGACGCCTGACACATGCTTCTCAAAACGTAGCTGTTCATCCATAAGGAGACCAAGATTACGAGCCTCACTTACACGCTCAATAATTTCACCCCTGATCGCTAGAGAAATTCTGTAACTTGTAATTTTCGCTGTTTGTTGCCTTGTACCTAGCACCATATATTTTGATTTATTACCATTTAGTACTAGCGCATTTGATTCCGACCATGAAGCTATACGTTCTAAATCCTCATTTAACTTACACACGGCTGCATGAGTATCACCTGGTTTGCATGATATGTAAATCTGTATATCATCAGCGTACATATGATATTTACAAAATTTAATATGGTCTATCACATCTGCACTGTAGATGATAAAGAGGATAGGGCCTAAAATAGAACCTTGCGGCACTCCGCGCATGACGTCACGTGACCTAGACAACAGCTTTGATCCAGACTGGTTGGAAATTTCGACACACTGAGTCCGATTTCTCAGATAGCTATCAAACCACTTGATAGTAGAATGGCTAAAACCGTAGAAGTGTAATTTTACTAATAACATATTAATATTTATGCAGTCAAAGGCTCTGGAAAAATCAAGTAGCGTCAACAATGTGCCCTGACCATTGTCTTGCGCGGATAGAATGTCGTCAACAACTTGGACCACTGCAGTTGTCGTACTATGTTTTTTTCTAAACCCAGACTGTACATTAGGAAGAAGTTTATTGCTTTCTAGAAAATTAGTGACTTGTTTGACTACAATAGTTTCCAGGACCTTCGACACGCAAGGCAATATGCTTATAGGCCGGATGTCTTTTAGGGTAGTTGGGTTATTATTTTTAGGAATAGGCCTTATTACTGCGTGTCGCCAATCTGTTGGGAAAGTGTTCGTTTCAATGGATCTGTTCACCATAGCTGTAATAACTGGTAGTATAATAGGCAAAGACAACAGTAACATGTCCCGTGATATTCCATCAAGGCCGACCGCATTCGACTTAAGCGATCGCACAGTTTGCAACACTTCAAACTCGTCCACTGTCTTTAAAGTTAATTTTGTGGAAATCTTGCAACTATCCAGAAAATACGTCTCGTCTGATAACGCAGCCTGTGGACTACCGGGTACATTTAAGAAATGGTCGTTTATCAAATCTGGATTGTCAAAAATATGTACCGGTAACTCTGGCTTATTTTTTATGTTGACATTATTTTTTATGTGTGTCCATAATACCCTAGCATCTTTTTGATTGTTTACATAATAGTCAAAGTAAGCCTTCTTTTCAGTAGATAACACTTCATTAACAATTTTTTTTAGCTCCCTGTAGTAGGTCTTTTGCGAGTCATTGCCTTCGGTTCGTGCCACTACATGTGCCTCGTCTCGACGTTTCATAAGCTGTTTGACATTGTATGTGATCCAAGGGTATCGGTGCTGCTTAGCGTATAATGCCCGAAGTGGTGCATGAGTATCAAACAATGCGACAATTCCAGCATTGAATTGCCTCACTATGTCATTTACATCCTCTAAGTGACTTATACTCATCCAATCTACGGTAGACAGATCCATATAAAATTGTTCATGGTCAATGTTTAGCAGATTTCTACGGACTATTTTCATTGGTGGTGGTTTTGCTTTCATAATGTCTAGTGCACAGGTGATAAACGCATGTCGGCTTAGTTCATGTATATAATCGACGTGTACAATAACATTGTTTTCTATATCAGTACTTACAGTGTCAATAAGAGTCTGGCTAAATTCTGTGTAATGCGTGGGCTCAGTCACATATTGGTTCAACGAGTGACAATTAAAAAAATTTAGCATCTTCTTGGTATTGCTATCTGATTGATCCAATAGATCAATATTAAAGTCTCCTAACAATATCACACCGGTACACCATGAGAAACAACCCAAACTCTCACCAAGAGCATCTGTGAACGTGTCCACACTAAGCCACGGAGGTCTGTATGCAGTTCCTACCAGTAACTTTATCCCGTTTACGTTTACACATAGCCACATTTGCTCAACTAGTGGAGCCGGCGGATGAGGCAGTACACGAATAACGATACTTCGTCGTATATAAAAACCGACCCCGCCGCCTCGCGAGCGCACAGCGGACGGTCGGGGAATATGACGTAACCGGTAGTCAGGTACCGACGGCGCGCGGCCCTCTTCGCCCTCTCTCAACCACGTCTCATTAATTGCCATAATATCGACGTCGTGTCGATCCATTGCAACTATAAATTCGTCATGGCGTGTACCTAATGAGCCCACATTTAATAATCCTAACTTAAATTTACGTTTTAAGTTGAATATTTATAGTGAACATTAAAGTAAATTTTTGTATTGAGCAATTTATAGGTGACAATGAAATAATTGTAGGCCGTCGCAGTTATTGTGAGATAATATAATAATAAGTCCCTCCTGGAGTCTAGGTATGTCTGTCCGAGTCCGTATCTATTTTGCATGTTTAGTTTTGTATTAACATAATTGTTGTAAAATGCTTGTTGATAATTATGTTTGTAAAAATACAGTAGAAAGTGTATATATATAATAAAAATAACATGTAAAGTTTGTGTGTCTGTAGATTTGTAAGTAGCGGAACGAATAAATTTGTGCGAGTATAAAAATAAATGAATGTAAAATAAGGTAAGTGTATATAGTATGTAAATAGTTTTTGAATGTTTTGCGAAAAACTCACTGCCGCACACGTGACAACACATTAAAAATAG